ACATCATCTTTTGAAGTCATCAAGAAATTAAATTTTTGGAGATCATCCTGAGGTTTCTTGTGGAAATATAATGTCTTGTATGATTTGTTGGCGTATTACTTTATATTGTGGACATTTCATAACAAAGTGCAGTTCGTCTTCTATTTCATTCTGTGAACATTGTTTGCAAATTCTATTTTCAGTAGGTATTTTTGGTTGCATATGTCTCCCTTTTTCTATTGCTAAAATGTGATTACTAGTTCGAAATTTTGTCATTGAAATTCTTTGTTTCAAATTTAGCACATCTAAGTATTTTTCAAAATTATAAGAGTCTTCAGTTATATTTTTTCTCCAGAAATTTATGTATTTTTGTTTGACAACTTTGCCAATTTGCTGTATATGTTTTGTTAACCAATCATTCTGTTGTTCTCGTGAAAAGTTCATGTTGTTCATCATTTTTTGTATTGAAGAGTACCATTGTAAATTGGATTTCTTTTGTTCAAGGTATGCTTGTTTTGTGATATTATTGTCTGGTAATTTACTGATACGAGTCCAGTATTTTATTAAATTGATCTGAATATCTACTAAGAGTGGGAATTCTCCTACTTCGGCTCTGCATGCAATGTTTGCCACAAATTTGTTCAGTCCTAGTAGTTGTTTGTAAAAATTCAATTGTGTTTTTTCTGTTATTGTTTTGTCCCATTTGTTGTAATCTTGAATTTCATGGCCCCAGATTTCAGACCCGTACAATAATATTGGTTGAATACACCTTTTAAAAAGATGGATGAAAGTTCTACAATTTGTTTCTGGTGGTAGGAACTGTTTCAATGCATACATTGCTCTGGCTGCTTTATCTGCTAAATTTTGTTTGGCTTAAGTGTAGCAGCCATTTGACTTTAAATTTATACCCAGGTAGTTGTACATATCTATACAGGTAATATTTTGTTCATTATAATAGAATTTTTCTGTCTTTTTCAGTGTTCCTCGTCTGAAAATAACAACTTTTGTTTTTGTCAGATTTACCTGAAGTTTCCATTTATGACAATAAACTTCTAAACTATTTAGTGCATTTTGTAGACCGTTTTTTGTTTCAGATATTAACACTAGATCATCTGCATAGAGTAGGGAACTAATTTTACAGTTATTCAATGTAACCGGATCTAATGATTCATCTTCTAGTGATTTATTTAAGTCATTAATAAACAAATTAAAAAGCATTGGGCTAATGACACAACCCTGCCTAACACCCTTGGTCGTTTCAAATATGGGTGTAATTTTATTTTTGAAACGAATGCATGATTTTGTATTTAGATACATATTTTTAATGATGTTATAGAGATTACCATTTATACCATTATTAAGTAATTTATAGAAAAGCCCTTGTCTCCAGATTTTATCGAATGCTTTTCGAAAGTCTATGAAACATGAGTACAATTTTCCCTTTGATTTCAAGTATTTGTTGACAATAGTTTTCAATACAAATATCTGATCTGTAGTACGATATCCCTTACGGAATCCTGCCTGGTTATTGTTTATAATGTTATTATCTTCGGTATATTGACTAATTCTAGTGTTAATTATACTACAAAAGATTTTACCTACACAACTAGAAACAGCTATTCCTCTATAATTTTCTGGGTCAGTTTTGTCTCCTTTTTTGAAGATATGAGAGATAATACTGATGTTCCAAAGATCTGGATAAATACCTGGGTCCAGGATTATATTAAATAATTTACGTAGTGGCTGAATTAGGAAGTCTGAACTGTATTTAAGTAATTCTGGGCAATAACCATCATATCCTGATGATTTTTTACTCTTTAGTTTTTTAATGGCTAGACTAATTTCTTTTTCAGATATCTCATTATTTAAATTATTAATTGTAAAAATGTTCTTTTACTTCCATAGCTGAGATGTTAGAGATGATCTGTTTTTGAAAAAGAGTATTATTATTATCAGTAGCATTATTATTTAATTCTTCATAGAATTCTTGCCATTTTCCTGGTGAAATTGGATTAGATTGATCATTTCTTGAGCCTTTTAGTTCATTGATTATTTTCCAATATTGTTGGGGATTATTTTCTTTTTGACGCGCGGACACGCGTGGGAGTGTCCGGGCACGCGCGGAAGCGAACAGAGGGGAATGCCTAACGCGCGGGGCAGCGGCAGCAATCCTTGTACTGTATAATATTCGTTTATGCTCAAAATTTGAAACAGAGTGGCGAATTCGAGCAGCTATCCACATTTTTTTATGATCGACGCCCGGGCATTCCGGCGAGTCAAGTCCGCCATGTTGTTTACTAATTTTGGTTGGCGTTTAAAGGGGCACCTTCCAGTTAAGATTAATTTCACAACAAATTTACTTTCTGGATTAAAATAACAATGGATAACAAAAGATAGATTAACATTGTAAACAACATAAACAATAGTGTCCCATGATTCTTTGGTGCAATCCATGGGATTGAGCGGTTCCCCTTTAACAATAGGACAATACCATTCGATCCATGGGGGTGACAAGCTACGAATGTGCCGACATTGTCCAAGGACAAGGACTGAACAAGTTTGTGCAAGTGTGGCGAGACTCCCGTAGTATTGTTTAGTAAGATTCATTTAAAAATTACCATGTAAGACGTCTGTTACGCAGAAATTATTCACCTCATGTAAAAATAAAACATCGTTTTCTCATTGTTAAGTGTCCCCGTAAACACAGCACTGTAAGCAGGTGACAATGCTACGTACTCGTGCAATGAAATCGGTATCCTCAGAATATCGTAACGTCTTTGTGTTTCCTGTTACAGTGCAAGTTTGTATACTGTGAATATCGTGAACGGTACAGAATTGGGTAAATCTCGTGTACGGTACAGAGGGGATATTTTCGTAGGCTGTGATATAATGTTTTTATTCTTTGTAATGTACATGTAATTCAAACAAATAAAAAACGTATATTCGTAGCCATGGACAAGATTTAAAATGTGATTAACCGTTTTATTCATCCATGATTTGTACAAAGATCGTATATTTTGTAAGTGTATAAAGCATTTTCCACATTAAGCTTCCAATATAGATTCTTAAACACAAAATATCAAATATATCTTTAAGTGTAAAACTCGAATTTTTTACTGTAAATGGTAACTTCCTGTAAAAACGTAAGATGCCTTTTTTATTTCCTGCATTCTGCACCAGTTACCCACCCCCTGTCCCCGCTCTTACAACATGCGGTAAATTTTTTATTGTACACGCAGTTTACGGTAAACCTAGTTTATACCTCTTGTCGAAAGCACAGAGTTTGGTCAATCTCGTGCTCAATATAGCGTACGGTATATTACGTTTCGTCCACATATTTCAAAGTGTTTTAAATAAACATGACATGACATACCAAATATGATGAACTTGTGTAATTCAGAAAAAATGTTGTCATTTGTTCTGGCTTGGAGCCTGATGGTAAGGGGAAAACATTTACATAACCAGGGCGAGTTGCGTCTAGAGACGAAGCATTTGTTGTTTCTGTTTGGAGCTGTATCATGATTTATATTTCAGTCAGTTTGACAGTGGTTGCCATGACATATACTGATAAAGGTTAATGACAAGACCAGATGGCGAGCTGGTCGAAATCAACCAAAAACATCTTATGACTCTGCAGTTTTTAAGATACAAGACAGT